CAAGCTGGAAACTCAAGCAGGAGCAGCTCGTGCACCTGGAGCACGACTAGTTCCTCTGGCAGCAGGGAGCTGCTGGGAGAGAGGACAGAGGACAAGTGCCTGGCCATGCTGAGTACGTCCTTTGTGACCCTTGTGTGCCGCAGCAGTGCCTGGTGTGTGCATGTGTCAGCAAGAGCTGTCCCAGCTCCTGTTCCTCCTCAGCTGAGTGCCAGCTCCTGAGGCCTCCCCACAGGAGCTGTTGCTGTGCTCTGAGGCGGGGAGGGATCGCTGGGCTGCTGCTCCTGCCTCGGAGGGCAGCTGGGCCTGGTTTGGCCTTGCCTGAGCTTCCCTCTAGGCAAAAGGCAGAGCAGAGATTGTTTCTGGCTGAGCAGGAGGCTGTGACCGAGCAAATGAGGAGGCCTCCAGGAGCTCCTGTGGGGCCCAGCTCCTGTGGGGCAAGGCCAAGGTCATCTTCAGAGCTCAGCGTGTCCTAAAAGCTGAGGGACCTCATTCCTAAGGCCCATCACAGTAGGGTAGAACATCAGCTGCTGCTCTTGAGCGGCAGAAGGGCCTTGTTTAGGCAAAGTCCTGCTTCAAGCTGGAGTTCTTAGCTTTGCTGGAGGCACTTTGCAATATTCTTCCTGTTCTGGAAAGGGCAGCTGTTGATAAAAATGGATTCCAGAACCCAAGATGCCTTGCATGTTTGCAAGGATTAAATCTTTTGTTGAATGTCCCAGAGTCTTCATTGCCCGAACAGAAAGGTTGTGTTTGTCCTGCTGCCCTTAATGTCTGTAGGCAACAATCACTTCTCTTGCTTACACTTTTCTGATCCCTGTCTCCTCTGACTGTTTCTTGATGTGCTTAGATTTTAGTTTAGACTTCTAGTTTTGGACAGGCCATCTGTGCTGCAGGGCTGCTTGTCCTGCTGCTGTTGTTTTTTAGGTGGTGGCGGTGTGGTGGTGGTGTTGTTTCCTGAGGGAGTGAGTTGAAAGGGCGCAGTGTCCCAGAGAGTGGGGCTGCCTTTCTGATCTGCTGCAGGGTGGGATCTCTTTTGAAGGGAGCATCTTTCCTTGGGATTTTTACAGAGATGCTGGTGAGTGAGGGAGATCCTGAGGCTAAATACACAGAACTGGAAACAATTGGCAGAGGGTGAGTGCAGCCACAGTTCCTTCCATTTACTGTTTGTCCCTGGACTGTTTTCCTCTTGTACTGTGGATTCCTGCACTTGCAGGGACTAAAGGACTTCTTCTTTCTCTGCGGCTGTTTTGTTTCTAGAGGTTTTGGCACGGTGTGCATGGCAGTGGAGACTGCCACAGGAGAAGAGGTAAGCGTCAAGCAGCGCCACAGCTTCTGCAGAACTGTTTTAGGACAGCATTTGATCTGTCATGTCTGGAAGAGTTTGCTTTGTTGCTGTGAAATGGAGAATGCCAGTGGAATGATCAAGCCCCCTAGAGGTTGTCCAGCAGTTTTGCTCCATGTTTTCTGGCAGAAATTGACTTTCTGCTTGCAAGAGGAGTGTGAATGAAAATGGGGATGATAAAGTAAAGCCATGGGGGAAGTCTGTGGGAACGGTGAGTGTTGTTAGAGCTTTGAGGTGGACAGCATAGACCATGTTTCTGCCAGGTTTCCAAGGCAAAGGCTATCTGGCTTTTTGTCCTGGCAGGTGCCCAAGCAAGCGGTCTGATGTCCAGCCACAAGGCAGCTTGGCCCAGCCCAGCTCTGTCACCCCATCATCACTGTCTCCGTGTTCCCCTGGTGGTTCTGTGCCACCAACTTTGGTTCATGTTTTCCATGTTGTTTTAGGTGGCCATAAAGAAAATTAGTCTCCTGGAAGAGAGCAACAGCGAGGTGTGCCTGAATGAAATCCAGATCATGCGTGGCAATAAGAATGCCAATCTTGTGACCTTTGTAGACAGGTGAGTGGTTCTGCTGTTCTGCCATGAAAGGTCATTCACATCCTGCAATCCAGAAGTTCAACCACTCCTTTGGTGGCTGGCAGAGGATGGAGCTGTTAATTCCTGCTTCTGGGCTGATCTACAGCGTCCTGGGAGGAGATTGCATTGGGGCTGCATTCATCTTTGCTGGCACACCGAGTTTGAAGTGTGCTTTCAAAGACCGGCCTTGGCCCTGTCTCACTGAGCCAACAGCCTCAAAGTTCCTGTCCTCTCTCCACATGGTTTCATTTGTTTTGGCATTTGATTTTTTCCCACGGGTCTCCAGTGCTGACAAAGCGCTGTAGATTGTATTTCCCTTGGCCTGTTGCATTGGTGTGGATACCAAGCAGCCTTTAGACTGCATAGAGTTCAAGCCCTGTAGAGCATTGTGAATGACTATTCCGCCTGTCTTCCTCTGAGAGAGACACAGGAGCAAGAATCCATCAGGTCATGTAAGTGCACACCTTCATCTCCAGGCTGTTGTTTCCTCCTTTCAGCTACCTGGTGGATGAGGAACTCTGGCTGGTGATGGAATACATGGATGGAGGTTCTTTATACGATGTCATCAGGGAGACTCATATGGCAGAAGGAGAGATAGCAGCTGTCTCTCGGGAGGTAAGGGATGGCGCTTGTGCTTCCCATGGCTTGGTCGGGACGGCCCTTCCAAATGGGTGTTAAGGAGAGGAGAGATTTCCCCTTCCAAGCTTCCTTTCTGCCTTTCTCTTATGCCTGGCAGTAGCAAGAGCAGATGAAGTGCCTGCCAATGTGCCTGCCCTTCTTCTAGTGTGTTTGTGTTTGCCTCTCTAAAGCCTTGCCTGGAGCCTGTGTGTGCTGCATTCCTTCCCCACAAGAGCAAAGTGGCTAGTGGCACCATGTTGAGCAAGTGGCAAAGACAAAGAGATCCTCACAGGACTCTCACAGAGCTCAGCCTCAAAGGAGAGCCTTGCATCCCCAGTGGTGTTTGCAAAAGCAGACACTGTTGTCTGGCTGCAGAGAGTACAGGCGCTGCAGCAGTGCACCTTGAGTCTGTGTTTGCAGGGCACTGGCCAGAGCAACAATTGCCCTTTCCCTTTCAAAAGCAAACAGCCACGCCCTTAGAAAAGCTCTGCTGTCCTCGTGTTGGAGCAGCGAGCTCTGCTGCCTTTGCCAGCAGCCTGGCCTGCCGTGGCTCCGCATCCCCCAGGAAGTCAGTCTTGCAGGTGTGCCACTGCCCTGCTTGTGGGACGCAATCCACTCAGGCTCGTGTTTCTTTTTCCTCTCTCAGTGCCTGCAAGGCCTGGATTTCCTTCACTCCCAGCAAGTGATCCACCGAGACATCAAAAGCCACAACATTCTCCTGGGCTTGGACGGCTCTGTCAAGTTGGGTGGGTGTTGCTGGCCAGGCTCAGCCGTGGCGGGCTGCGGTGTGGGGCTGCCTTTGGGTGCTGCCGCTTCCCTGGTGCCTGTGGCAGTGCAGGCTGCCCTGCTGCGAGCGCAGAGCACAGCCACAAGGTGCAGGGAGCTGTAGCTGGGCAGAAGGGGTCAGCAGTGCCTTTGGCTTGTGTGTGTCCCTTCCCCAGCAAGGCAGCAGCAGTCTAATAGCTTCAGGGGACTAAAAGCCACTGCCTGAAGTCGGGGGCTTTTGCAAAGTGGCCAATTGCGTATTTCCTCAGCTGCAGGCCCGAGGAATGGCAGCATGCCCCTGGTACAGCTGGATTCCACACTGCCTTCTTAGACATTGATTCAGTGGGGAATTCTTTTCTTTGCTCTCCTTTTTCAAGCTGGCTTGATGTGAGTGTTTTTTCTCCTCAGCTGATTTTGGCCTTTCTGCTCAGCTCACCGCTGAGCAGAGCAAACGAAGATCACTTGTTGGGACTACTCACTGGATGGCCCCAGAAATTTTCACAAAGAAGCCCTACGGCCCCAAAGTGGACATCTGGTCCTTTGGAATTGTGGGGATCGAGATGGTGGAAGGAGCACCTCCTTACCTGATGAACACCTCTAGCACGGTACGCTGCAACTCCCCTCAGATGCTCCTGTCACTCTGACTAAATCTACTCCCATTCTGCTGCCTGGGAATCTTGCTAACACCTGACAATGATAGGTGCCAGGCTGCAGAGTCTCTTATGCTTCTTGCCCAGATTATCCCCTTGGCATTTCATCATGAATAGCACAAGAAAATCACTATGCCTTTTCCTTGATGGAAGCTTTGCCTAAGAGAGCAGTGAGCAGCTTTACCTAAGGGAGCAGTGAGCTGCATTTTATGGGTGGAATCCTTGGAAATAGTAAAGTTAGATTAAAGTCTGTCTTCCACCTCGCCTGTAGAGCTGGTGTCAGTGCTGAGAGAAGCAAAGTGTGCTGCCGCTGATGGAGTTGCTCCTAATTCCATCAGCCAATGAAATCAGGGATCAAGGCAAGAGCCTTTGCATGTTGGACTGGCTACGGCTGCCTCTGGCTTTGGGTTCTTTTAGTAGGGGTAGGAAAGGTATCTCCCTCCCTCTGGCAGGGAGTAAAGAGCCACTGGGGAGTGGAGCTTGTCCAGTGGGGTCTGTGTGAGCAGTTTGGGGTGTGGAGGAGACAGGTGGAGCGTGGCATTTCCTTCTTCTCCAGGTTCAGCAGCTGATAATCACCGAGGGCACCCCGAAGCTGCAGAAGCCCAGGCAACAGTCGGCTTGGCTGCGAGACTTTCTGTGCTGCTGCCTGGAGACGGACGAGGACAGGCGCTGGTCTGCCCAGGAACTTCTGCAGGTAAAAGGCAAAGCGGCTGCCGGGTGCGCCGGCCGCCCGCTGCCAGGGGCTCCTCGTCTGCTCAAGTCCAAGGCGGCAGATGGGCCCTGCTCCTGAGAATCTCCAGTCTGGGGGCTTTTCAAAGGAAAACAGAGGAGAATCCTGGCCTGGCATGGGTTGGAAGGAGCCTTTCCAGGTCGCCTAGACTAAATCTCCTTCAGCTGAAGCCATCTGGGTTAATGGATTTGTGGGATTGGGAGCCGTTTTTGGCTCATGTAGCATGGTCCTGGATGTGGAGACAGAGGTGCACAGAATGCCCTCCTTTGTGTATCTTTCTGCTTGCAAGAGAAAGCCAGTTTCAGCCTGTGAGGTCAGTAGAAATTAATGTTTTCTTTTTCTCTTTGGGCAGCATCCGTTTGTAACCTCAGCCAAGCCGACCTCCAGCCTGACGCCTCTGATCATGGCAACGCAGCAGTTTATGGCCGACAGGAGATACTAGCCCTGCAAGAGGCCATTGTTGTTTCATGTAGTTTCTAGTTGATAGCTCGTAGTTTCTAGTTTGTTTAGACTGATAGTGTAAATAAATACGATAATACATAAAACCTTCACTGTGCTGGAAGCCTCCCTTTGTTCTCACGCTGTGCATAAGCTCTAAATTTGCTTCTGAATGGACAAGTGATTCTTAAATGTGGGAAAAGCCATATATGGGGTTTGTGGCATGGTCTGGAAGTGGGCAAAGGTCTTCTGACCTTGGTGCCTCCAGGCCACAACCTCTAGTGGAGAGACAGGCTGGCAGCAGTGACTAGAGGAGCAGAGTGGGGCAAAATGGAGCAGAGCAGTGGTGGCAGTGCAGGGCATGCTGCTGTGGCTGTGGTTGTGTTGCAGCTCTTGGGAAAGGTTGGGAGTGTCTGTGCTGCTGTGGGCAGAGGGGGAGGGAGCCGGGCTTCTCCACAGGCTCGGGCACAGGTGAGTGTCCAGTGGGAAGGCAAGTTCTGCCGCGGGAACTAAGGCCAACATGTGGGAGTGAAGACTTGTGCAGTTTGGATCTGCGTGAGCCACTGTGGAGGCCTGTGGGCCTGCTGGAGGACTTCTTGGGGCTATGCCCTGGAAGAATGTCTCCTAGACTTTAACCTTTCCTTTATCATGTCCCCTAGACTTGAACCTTTAACCTTTCCCATGGACTCCGGTTTTTCATTTCAATGTACATTGTTACATTATTAGTGTTAAATAGTGATCATATAGTGATTATTGAAAATCATTTACTGTGCGATGTTTGGTGGCAATTGGTGGTGTATATGACGGTCATTTAAGTTTAAATTTTAGTTGCACAATATTTCGCAGACTTTATTTCCCAGTTTTCGTTTTCACTGCCGCTTGTCCCTGAACCCACTATCCCTGAGAAAGACAGGACTGGAGATGGAACCTGCTCAAGAGCACAGGCCAGCCACCAGCCATCTGCCATCTGCCCTCCTTTTCCGTGCCCATGCCAGGAGGGCACTGGCCATGCATCCCCGGATTCTACCCTAACCCACCTTGTGACAGCCCTCAACCCTGCTCCCGCTTCCCTGTTGTATTAGCAGTCCCCGATTTGTGTTGTAATTCATGTTTCAGAGATTCCCGATACAGGCGACCCTCAGAAGCCAGTCACCCCAGTTCTTTTAATTATTTAGGCAGGAGAGTCGGCACCCTCCAGCCAGCCGGAGGAGCGACTCTGGTGCCCCACAGGAGACCCGTGCCCGGCCACACCATAAGGCCCTCACAGGCTGGTCCCCCCTAAAGCCTTTCCTTTTGGCTTTTGTGTTTGGGGGAGGGCACCAGGGGAAGGTGCCATCGCCAGTCCTTTTGATTTTCTGTTCTCTTTTGATTTTTGTGTAAGTGAGGGGGAATGAATTGGCAGAGAGGTGCCTGGGACTCGGGCCCTTAGAAATGAGGAGAAATGAAAATTGTATTTACTTCTTGTTTAGTTATTGTCTGCAATATGAACCCGCCTGTTTATTTTAGTTCTCAAGTTTAGTTAAAGTCTATTACGTATTGTGTTGTTTTTAGTTAAGACAAGGTTATTATTTTGACTATGATTGTTACACCTTTCATTTTCAATAAAACCAAAAAGGGGGAGTTGTGGGAGCTTGTCCTGGAGGGGATGGGCTATGAAGTGGCCACACATCAGACAATCAATGAGCAACAGAAAGCCTCGGGAGAAGAAAAGCCACAATGGATGACACCCAGAGAACTTCTGGTGAGTTTATCATAGAGAGTAAAGGACTCTGGGACCGACTGGGAGTGGCCATGCAGATCAACAGCCGTTGATTGGCCAGATGGTTTCTGGAACTTTCTAGAACACGCTGGTTCCAGGCCTTCCCCAGCACTGCTCAGCTGCAGCTCTGCAGCTCTTTGGCTTTGGACCAGCGTGTTTCACTGGCTTCTCAGGTTCTGGGGCTGGCTTCATCCCAGCATTCAATTCCTGCTCTGCCCTGAGGCTGGCTATTATTTCAGGCTCCAAGGCAATTGGAAACTGATTCAGTTCCTTTTCTAGCTGCTTGGCAACACAGAGCTCTCTGAGTCAAACCTCCATGCATATGGATACCGGGCATGGTCCTGTCGTGGGATTTTCAAAGTTTCTTCTAGCAAAATTCATGTTTTCTCCACCAGTAACTGTGGATAGTGCTAGTTTTTCTCAGTCTCTGTCTCTCTTCAGGGCTGGACAAGCTTTCTATATGAGCTTTTAGCAAGTCTGTCAGTAGAGAGCAGTTCACATCATTTTCTGCATGAGAGTCTATTACTTTTCTGCCAGAAGATAGCAGCCTTGACTGAAAATTTGTTTCTCCTTTATTATGTCATGAGCAGGTACTGCTGGATCAAATGCCCATGTCACCTCAAGAATACCCTGCTCATTGCGCCAGTTCAAATGTAAGGCCCCTAAAACGTTGCTCAGTGAGACACTTTAAAAGGACTTCAACTTGTTCACGAACTCTGATGTAGAAAAGCAGGAGAATTACGGACAAGATGTTCTCAAGAGGTGGGAACAACACAAAAAACTTCCCTGGCAACTTTTGAAAATCAGAGAACTTTGGCAAAACATTTAGAGCAGGAATCAATCAACATAAAGCATTCCATCAAGCATTAACTTAGCGTATTCAACTTAACAAATTCCAAGCCTGTTAGATTTTAAGTTACTGAAAAATCTGCGAGAATGAAATTGGAAGAACAAAGAGGAAGAGGGAATGAGAGAAAATATATAGAAAAGAACCAACACATCTGCCATTCCTGGTTCCAATGGTGTTCAGCTAATAGAATTCCTAGGGGAGGTAGGGCAAAGACATGGGGTTACCACATAGCCTGAGTTAAAATCCCTTTGGCTTTCCTGGGGCCTTCCCTCACATGGGGCTGCCCCTCACAGGGCCATTTAGGAGCTGGGTTAGGGGTTCCAGACACAGGGGTGGAGCATTGCCTCCGCTGTGCCAGGGATCAGCGGCCACTGCTGGGCTGGGATACAGGCCTGGGAGTGTGGGGTGTACAGAGCAAAGCATCACCTCTCCAGAGCAAGGCTTGATCTGCCCCTTTCCCCACATAAGCACCTGAAATGTTTGGAGCCAGCAATCTCTAGCCTCTCACAACAAGGTTTCTGGGCTCCTGTGCTTCTTGGCTCTCAAGACTCCAAAGACTTGTGGCTGGATATTAAGAAACCTGCACTTTTATTGCTTCCAAAAGAGGCAGCTTGAGGGTTTCTTTTTCTTTCTAAGACCTTCCCTTCTTTCTATGTCCTCAGCCTGAGATAGTCCTTGTAACGCCTCTATTCTCTCCCCTTCTCCACGACAATGGAGGGGGACAACAGAAAAAACAATGTATGAGAGGCCAGAAATGTTAAAAATGTTGCAATGTAGCAAGGGAAAAGAAAAAAGCAGCACTATACAACAATAAAAATAAAATTGTACAAAAGAGGTAATGACGTAATTACCTGGCTTTCTTATGCCTCTCTTCTTTCTAGGAGAAGAGAATTGTCCCATGGTAGTCTGTCAAGCAGATCCCTGAAGAGGTCAACATCTGATTTCCTGAGTGTCCCAGATTGAGAAGCATGATGTGTTAGATTTCCCATCTGTATGGCAGTTGTCTTCTGTTAAGTGAGCAGTTTTCTTTATCTCTTCCACAACCAGACCTCTCTCAGGGAAGACATCTGCTGATAATGGGCTATTGAATGTCACTGTGAGTAGTAAGAAGTGTAACATACCATTGGGAGATGCTCTGCCCAGAGGGAGGAGCCAAGCATTCCTACCTGGATGTAATCTTGGATTTCTGGAACACCAGCACGGCTTTTCCTGTACTGGATTTCCTAGAGGAACAGCTGCCTCTTCCACTGCAGGAAGACGACACCGTTTTCTACAGGATCACTGCTCCAACAGAACCACACCTGCCACTGCAGGAGTACTGCAGCCATAATTCCCAATTGGACTGCTACCAAAACCCTGTCCAGCAGGGTGTCAGGTTGTATTCTGACTCTGTCAGTGTTGTTTTGGTTCACTTCATTGTTTATTTTATTTTATTTTATTTTTAAATTTTATTTTTTTCCCTAATAAAAAACTGTTATTCCTGCTCCTATATCTTTGCCTGAGAGTCCCCTTAATTTCAAATTTATAACAATTTGGAGGGAAGAGGCTTACATTTTTCCATTTCGGGAGAGGCTCCTGCCTTCCTTAGCAGACACCTGTCTTTCCAAACCAAGATATTGAGCTCAAGGGTAGTGAACTTGCTGTGTGCCCTCCTTGCTGCCCTAAGTATCTTGAATTCCACAGGTAAATGTTCACTGCAGCCAAGGCTGTGTTTGGGTTTCACATACCCCAACTACTCCACTACAGAACTACAAAAGTATCTTACTAGCTCTATGAAAAGAGGAGGGACAATTTGCTTGACCTGCTGGCAAAGCTTTTCCTAGTGCAGCCAGGAAATTGCTGCCCATCTTTGCCCTAAAGATGCATTGTGTTGCTCATTTTCAGCTTGTTCTCTAAGACTGAAATCCTTCTTCACAAAGCTACTGGCCAGTTGGCCAGAACCCAGCACATTCTGTATCTTCAGTTATTTCTTCTCAGGGACAGGACCTTAAATTTTCCTTTGCTGCATTTCATGAGGTTTACCCTTTTCTCCAGCTTGTAATGTCCCTCTGGATGGCAGCACTCAGGAATATTATTTCTTGTAGTTTTCTATCATCTGAAAATTCTCTGAGAGTGCATTCAGCCCATCATAATTGATAATTTTAAGCAGTATTGGTTCCAGAATCAATGCCTTGAGTACACTGTGGACAGGTGGCCTTCAGCTGCTTTTTGTGACACTTATCACAGCTCTCTGAGCCTGTCAGTCTGTCAGTTTTCAGTCCACTTTTTTGCCACTTATTTAGTCTGCAGTTCATCAGTTTGTCTGGGAAGATGTGATGTGAGACACTGTGGAATGTTCTATTAAAGTTAAGATAAAGCAACCTTTCTCATTCTCCTCTCTCTCAATGCACCAGTCTGCTCATCTCATCATAGAAGGCTGTCAGGCTGTTCACTAATGATTCACCTTCATTAATCCATGTCCTTCTTGTCGTTTATGTTTGGACTGTCTAGTTCACCATCTTCCCAGGAGAAATAGCAAAGCAGATCAGCATGTAGTTCTCCAGATCCTCATTCTTCCTCTTCTTGTAAATAGGAATGATAATAGCTTTCTTTCTTTCGGTGCTTAGGAACATCTTTTCTAATTGCTGTGATGACTGAGGGAGTGACATTGTCCAGTTCCCTGAGCACCACTTGGTGATTGCTGTCAGTTCCCATGGACTTGTATGTGTCTAGGTTGTTGAAATGTTCTCTGTTCTAGTCATCCCCTACAAGTTATAAGTTTTCTTGTGCTGCACTTTACTGCTGGTGTCCCCACAACCTTCAGACTGCCAGATTTCCACAACGTAGTAAACCAGCTTATTCTAGTGCTAGGAAAGTTTTATCTGGGATACTTCACTGGCCATGGTGTGAGGACTGTCTGCATATCTCGCCATGAAACTAGAAGCACGTATGCTTCTTCTCCATAGTGTAAGAGCCTTAAAAATCATACTAGTCTTAAACACTATAAAGACCACTGAAGGGCTTTGCTTACTATAGCAAACTGCATAAAGAATCTGTGACCACCAAAACTCAACACTGCCCAAATATGCCTTCTGGGGTCTGAGAACTTGATATAAGATATAAGATAAAGGTGGTACTATTGTCCAATTATCTCAGGTTTAAGGAGAAGTAAACACAAGTGGAGGAGAAGAATGTATTCACAAGGAAAACCGGCTCAGCAGCTGTGCTAAAAATCATCTCTGGCTGGGCCCGGCAGGGGGAGACCATAGCCCACTGATCCATTTGCTGAGGCCAGGCTTGCACACTAGAGTTTGGGGATTTTTTAAGTCCTCCACTGTGAGGGAAATGCAACTGTACCGGGTTTGTCTCTGGGGCAGAAAATTAATTTTGGTGCTGCTGCTGTTCATAAGTGGAAAAAAGGTACTTAGAAAAGCAGTGGAAAATCATCTGGGAGGTGTGCCTAGGAGATTTGTGTATTAAGAAAAAGTATTTTATGGGATCTCAGTTTTTAGAAAAAATTGTTCCCAGTGGCATCCTTTATATGACTTACTGCGCTGACTGTTTCCCTGGAGCACATCAGTATTTTCACCACAGGTGAGAAATCTGGCACTGAGTTGACCACCCAGAGATTGCAAGAAGACTGCATTGGCAAGGGGACCACACAAATACTGACATTCCACTGTCCTCAAATCAGCAGAAGGAAACGTCTGTGGCATGCACTCAGAAGTACACGCTGGGAATATGAGTCTTTCTGGAGAAAGAGAAGGAGGAGAGCTTGTGGTCTGTAGAAGAAATCTAGTGAAAATATATGACTGTTGACTAACATAAGCAGCACAACATATTTTAATTCTGTATGTGAATGAATGAATGAAATGGAAGCCAGGACAGCACACAAAGATTGAACAGGAAAGAGCTGCCAGTTCTTCAGTTTCTAAAGGCACTATGAAAATATGACAAAATTAGTTCTTTGCAGAATAATCATATAGGCAAAGCAGAGACTGCTGCTGTGGTAGCATTGACGCAGAGCAAAAA